TCCCCCCAGCTCCACTGTACTTTCTGTCCCCTCCAGCACTGGGACTGGCCTCTGTGATTGCACTCCAGCCCTTCTACCTGGCGTAGTGAGTTGTTCCCATGTCTTAATCCCCCATCCAGTCAAGAGGTGTCTCATTCATCCCTGCCCACAGAGCCTAGGACAGTGCTGGGCACACCAGAAGACAAGTTCGAGGCAGAAATGCAAAACAAGTAAAAGAAAGGGGGCGCCTGGGAGGCTCACATGGTTAAGCATCTGCCTTTGGCTCAGGTCATGATCTTGGGGTCCTAGGATCAAGCCCTGTGGGCTCCCTGCTCAGTGAGAAGTCTGCTTCCCCCTCTCCCTCTGCCTCTCCCCCTTCTTGTGCTCTCTGTCTCTTTCTCTCTCTCAAATGAATAAATAAAATCTTAAAAAAAAAAAAAGAAATTAACTGATGAAGAGTCCCATACAGGTTCATGATCAAAGGCACATAGATCTGTGGCCTAATTTTACATAGTGGGTGCTCAGTAATTTGAAAGTATAAATGATGATATGGGTGGTTTTTGTAAACTTTTACTTCTAAATTAAAAAGCTAAAAAGGAACACGCAGTGGAAAGCAAGTCTCCCTCTACCCAGCCTGCCCTCCAGATCCTCACCAGAGGCCAGTTCTTTTTGTACCCAGAGGACTGTGTGTTTATATGCACACGCACACACACACACACACGTGCATGCACACACGCACACACAAACATGCTTTACACACTGTTCTGCACGTCTTGCTTTTTTCACTCACCTTATCTTTGAGATCCTGCTCTATCAGTCTATAGAGTGCTTCCCCATTGTTTGATAGCATTCACTGAATGATGTATTTATCTTGTCACCTGTTTATCCTGTGTCTTATCACCTGTTTACACCTGTCACACTATTTAATCTGTCACCCATTGGCAAACATTTAGGTATTTCCAATTCTTGCTACACGAGCAGTGCTGCAGGGAACAACAGCGGGCCTCGCAGATGACTGAATTTCGCCCCTCACCTCTAGCCCTGTCCCACCCAACCTCTGGCTCAGCCTCACCCCTGGCCTCCCAGGCCTTCACTGCCAGCCCTCCTGCCACCAGAGCCTGTCTGCCGGAAGCCTCCTCCAAACATTTACTGGGCCTTCCTCTGCACCCGGCTTGTGCTGGGCTGACAAACCCCAGTCCCACCCTCCTGGAGCTCCCAGTCCAGAAGGAAAGACGGACAAGGGATCAGTGACTTAAAAACTAATGCTGGGATAGAGACAGGCTGCCCCACCTACCTGGGAAGTCATAAAGGAGGGCCAGGGGCTTACCTTGGATAACTTTATCCCTGATGGACAGACTGAGTGGGAGGAGGAAAAGGGGGCCGCAGCGTGTGGGCACAGGGTTAGAAGAGGCAGGACTGCCCAACTGGCTCCCTGCCTGTCCTCTCTGGCCAGGCCTAGGCCAGCACTCAGCCAGCCTGCCTCCTTGAGGCCACCTGTGATTGTGTCCGGGCTGCCTATTCTCCTTCTGGGGGCCTTCTCTGATGATCCCCCAACACACACACCCTCATGTCAGGACCCGGTCACCTCGCCTCACTTTCAGAACCAACTGCTTGTCCCATCAGAAGGCCTTATTCTGCCAAGTTAATAACTGGTGTTGGTGGGAAGGGAGACAGCTGGGGGCGGGGTGGGGGGGACAAGAGGGTGTGTACCACCTC